AGCAACAACATCAACAACAAACAACAACAACAAAACAAGGCAAAATCGATCGCCAATCCCAGCTAAAACAGGTCCAGTAATCCGCAAATTCCCGGAAACACATCTTTACATAATCCCTCCCCTCCCCCCCCTCCCCCCTCCCTTCCCTCCCTTCTCTGGCGTCCCTTATCCCATCCGCGCAAAGATAGGATAAAAAAGGGGGAAAGTTCATATTAACTACCCCTCCCCCCCCCAAAAAAAAAGAAAGAAATGGATCTCTCTAAACACATACACGCATACTTACGCATACGCATTCATGCACACGTACACACACACGCGCGCGCAAATACACTTACACTCACACACACGTAAACAGACACACACAAACACACACTCAGACACACACACACACAAACACACACACACACACACACACACACACACACACACACACACACACACACACACACACACACACTAACACACTCACACTCATAAACAAACAAACAAACACAAAAAAAACAAAATACATCCCCTTAACCCTCCAAAAACCAAAAAAAAAAACAAAAAAAAACGAAACTCTGAAAATGCAAAAGCCGGTCATTAAAACTCGCCGTAAGTCTGGAATAAATAGATCATCTCCCAGCGTGTGTAGGAACACGGGGCTTCCATTGCCTCTATAATTCAAGTCGAAATGACGTCCGGAATCCATTTCCATAAGGGATCCGATCTGCAATCTAATTATCACACAGTGTATTGTATCATTTAATTGAATCTGAATCTGACGGGAAGGTTTCGGAACACTCTCGCGCTTGTTCTCTTTCGCTCTCTCTCTCTCTCTCTCTGTCTGTCTCTCTGTCTCTTTCTCTGTCTCTTTGTCTCTCTCTCTTTCTCTCTATCTCTTTGTCTCTGTCTCTTTCTCTCTGTCTGTCTCTGTCTCTCTCTCTTTCTCTCTATCTCTCTGTCTTTCTCTCTCCCTCACTCTCTCTCTCTCTCTCTCCCTCTCTCTCTCTCTCTCTCTCTCTCACTCTCTCATTCTCTCTCTGTCTGCCTCTGTCTCTCTCTCTCTCTCTCTGTCTGCCTCTGTCTCTCTCTCTTTCTCTCTGTCTCTTAGTATCTCTGTCTGTCTCTGTCTCTCTCTCTTTCTCTCTGTCTCTCTGTCTCTCTCTCTTTCTCTCTGTCTCTCTCTCTACCTCCCTCTCTCTCTCTCTTATTTATTTTTCTTCTCTTTAAGCATGTCCCTTCGTTTCACTTGTTTCTTTGCCTGGTCCATTTTCCATTTCATGCCTCTCTGTCATTTTCAGTCTTTCTCTGTTTTTTTTTTTTTTTTTTTTTTTTAGCCATGTTCCCCTGCGTCTTCTGTTTTCTCTCTCTCTCTCTCTCTCTCTCTCTCTCTCTCTCTCTCTCTCTCTCTCTCTCTCTCTCTCTCTCTCTCTCTCTCTCTCTCTCTCTCTCTCTCTCTCTCCCTCTCTCTCTCTCTCTCTCTCCCTCTCTCTCTCTCTCTCTGTATCTGTTTCTATCCCCCTTTCTTTATGCCTCTGTCTCTGTTTCTCTTCCCCCCTTCTTCTGTCCCTTCGCTGTTTCTGTGTCTGTATTTCCTCTCTCTTGTTTCTGTATATCTCTTCAACCCTTTCTCTTTCTCTCTTCACTGTCTATCTTTCTTCTCTCTTTTTCCTGTTCATACCCTCAAGGGAAAGCCCTTTCTCCCTTCAGTCTGTCTTTCCTCTCTTTTTTTCTGTCTATCGCCTCAACCCTTTTTCTTTCTCTCTTATTCTCTCGTCATCGCTTTCTTCTCCTGTGTGCACGCGCGTGTGTTTATATACGAGTGCCAGTACGAACGTGTAAATACGCCTTCATCAGCATCTAGTCATCTTTGCGAGATTTACAGGCTTACAGTCCCCTCCCATTCCCTTCTCCCTCTTCTTCCCGTCCTATTTCTCCCCTTCGGCAGCACCGCCTCTCTCACGCCCCTCTTTTTCTCTCACTTCTTCTTCTCGTTCTCCTCCCCCCTCTCTTCTTTTCCCTTTTCCTTCTCTTCTTAGGCAGCATCGCCTCTCTCGCTTTTCCCTCTTTCTCTCATTCTTCTCTTCCCTTTCCTTCTCCCTCTCCCCTTCTTCATTTTCCTCTTCCTCTTCCTCCTCTTCCTCTTCGGTACCACCACCTCTCTCTCGCTTTCCCCCTTTTCTCTAATTCCTCTTTCCCCTTTCCTTCTTCTCCCCCTCTCCTTTTCCCTTCCCTCTCTTTCTCTCCCACCTCTCTCCCCTTCTCCTTCTCCTCCGTTTCTTCTTCCTCCCCTCTTCTCTTTTTCTGTCCATAGATGATTGCTTTTTTATCCTTTTTTTCGTAAGACTGATCACCACATATAATCCTGCGACCCTATAGTCAGCAGCGAGAGTATTTAGAATTAGGAAGGAGGGGAGCCGAGGGGAGGAGGAGTCGAGGGGAGGAGGAGAGGAGAAGAGGGGAGATGAGGAAGAAAGGAGGGGAGGAGAGGAAGAGGGAAAGGGGAAGAGGAAAGGAGAAGAGGGGAGATGAGGAAGAAAGGAGGGGAGGAGAGGACGAGAGAAAGGGGAGGAGGAGAGGAGAAGAGGGGAGTTGAGGAAGGAAGACGGGGAGGAGGGGAAGAGGGAAAGGGTAGAAGAAGAGGATAGGAGGAGGGGAGGTGGGGGGGGGGGGATGTTAGGTGATGTGGGGGGAGGGGAGGAGGGAGGGAGGGCGATATCATGTTCGTAATTCTCCCTTTCTCTCTTTCAGTGTCTTCTCGTCATTTTCTTTCTTTCTGTATTTCTTCTCCGTCCGTCTCTCTCTCTCTCTCTCTCTATCTCTCTCTCTCTCTCTCTCTCTCTCTCTCTCTCTCTCTCTCTCTCTCTTGCTCTCTCTCTCTCTCTCTTGCTCTCTTTGTCTGTCTTTATCTCTCTCCTTTTCTCGTTTTAATCATATAATCCATATAAGATACGTACGTAAAAGTAACAAAGATTATTTCATCTTTACTTTTTTCGTATTTATCAGTCTTTCCTTTTCGGTCTTTTTTACTTTCTTCTTTCTTTCTTCTACAAACTCCCTCCCTTTCTCTCTCTTCTTATATTTCTTCTCCCTTTCATCTTCTGCTTCATTTAACCTTCCTTTTTATATTTCCTCTCTCTTCTCAATTTATCAAATCGAATTTCTTTCTTCGTTAGTTCCTTTCCCACGCTATCCTTATTCTCCTTCTCTTCCTCCTCCTCCTTCTGTTCTTCTTATTCTTGTTCTTATTATTTTTCTTCCTTTTTTCGTCTCTTTTTTGTTCTCTTTCATCTTCCTTTTCCTCTTCTTCTTTTCCTCCTCTCGTTTCCTCTTTCCTTTCTCTCCGCGAATTTAACTTCGCTTGCAACGAGACAATTGCAAAACGGATGAACTTTCTGCTTACATTATTGCAAATTTCGAAATCGCTGTTGCTTTAGTGCAGTTGAATCAACAATACAAATACCTCTGTCTTGGGAAATGTTGAATGTCCTTGATAGCGAAGTTGATAATGTCAAAATCCGGAAAAAATAATAATGATTCAGAAAAGGATGAAAAGGTAGATAGGTAGATAGATGGACAGATGGGTAGATAGGCAGACAGAGAGAAAATAAAGACAGATAGATAGCCAGATAAATAGATAGAGAGACAGACAGATAGACGAGCTACTAGAACAACGTATTTATTCTCTCTCTCTCCCTTCTCTCTCTGTCTCTCTCTGTCTGTCTGTCTGTCTGTCTGTCTGTCTGTCTGTCTGTCTGTCTGTCTCTCTCTCTCTCTCTCTCTCTCTCTCTCTCTCTCTCTCTCTCTCTCTCTCTCTCTCTCTCTCTCTCTCTCTCTCTCTCTCTCTCTCTCTCTCTCTCTCTCTCTCTCTCTCTCTCTCTCTCTCTCTCTCTCTCTCTCCCTCTCTTTCTGTCTCTCTCTCTCTCTCTCTCTCTCTCTCTCTCTCTCTCTCTCTCTCTCTCATCTCCTCTCTCTCTCTCTCCCCTCTCTTTCTTCCTTCTCTCTCTCTCTCTCTCTCTCTCTCTCTCTCTCTCTCTCTCTCTCTCTCTCTCTCTCTCTCTCTCTCTCTCTCTCTCTCTCTCTCTCTCTTTCTTTCTCTCTCTCTCCCTCCCCCCTCTCTCTGAGGAACGAAAATCTATTCATTCTGCAATCTGGTGACGAGAAAACCTCTCATTTTCACCCCAATGCATTCCGTCAACTAGTACAGTATGTAACGATTTTTGACATTTAACCGATGCATTTTTGAAAGCTTCGTCGGTAACATTTACTCTTTGATATGGCAACCGACAGAGGAATTGGCGGAATGAAATGAAATCAAATAAAACAATACGAAAAACAAATAAAGATGCGTTGAATCCCTTGAGAGCTACACGTGCGTTATAAAGTATTCGATTCTGTCTAGAGTGTTTTTTTTTTTTTTGTTATTACGGTATCTATGTTATACTGTTCTGGGGTGTGTGATATCTCTGAGGCAAATGCTTTTGATGTTTTATTTTTATTATTATTATTATTATTATTATTATTATTATTATTATTATTATTTTTGAGTTAGATTTTTTCTCATTTTCTCTTTTGATTTTTTTTTTGGTGGTGGTGGTGGGGGAAGGGGGGGGTTAGGTATTCAGTTGCAAGTGCAATTGTGCGTATTCTCTAATTGTCTTTGTATCTCTTCCTCTCCCTCATTTTTTTACTCCATTTCTTCATACCACTCCATCCTCATTCATGCACACATACACACACATGCGCGCAAACACACTTACACACACACAAACACGCACACACACTCGCGAGCAAAGACACTTACACTCACACACACACTCACAAACAAACACACACACACACACACTCAGACACACACACACACTCACTCTTCCTCTTCCTCATTTTTACTCCATTTCTTCATACCACACTCTCTCCTCACACCACCACCTCCTCACCCCCCCCATTCCCCCTCCACCATCCCCTACCATCCCCCCCTACCATCCCCCTCCACCCCTCCACCACCCCACCCCACGTAC